TAAAATTAGAGTTTTATCTGTACATTGCTCAAAATCATAGTTTTAGGTTATTTTTACGTTTTATACATTAAAGAAGCCGAAACAAGTCTCATCTAAATTTCTGTCTGTCTGTCTGTCTTCCTGTAACACTCAAGATGGCATTTTACGCAATCTTCTCCAGGAAAACGAGAGTACCTATCACGATCCAAGTCATTTTAATGTATCCACTGGATTGGCGAGCGTGTCTTTAGCCATTAAAATATGGCCTCACTACTTTGTAAATAAAATTACGGACGTTCAAAAATGCAGTTTTGTGCGATTTTTGTCAAGTTTTCGTCCAATTTTTATCACATAATCATCTATGAAATAACGAACAGCTGTTCGGATCAAGATTATTTTTTCTAGCTGTCACTGATATGTTTACAAGTGTTGTTTACAAATACCACAACCATTTCCGATCACATTTTTAAAGCAAATCCTAACCAAGTGAGATTAAAAACGTTTTTCTTACATAACGGATTTAATTAATCGCAAGTGGAATAATATAGTGTAACCGTAAATGAAATTAAATAACTAGGCGTCATCCAGGTCAGGAACCAGATATTCTTTGTGTATAAAATTGTTCTTGAGGTTAGATAACCAGAAAGAATACCTTGAATCAGTGTTGTATAGGGCTGGGAAACTTAAATTTATTAATGATCGTCGCCAATAGCTTACAAACAAGGTTTCCACTCATTGACGGCGCTTCAATGGTGGTTGTGTAAAGTGTAAAGTAAACAACTGCAGTGGGTGATTAACAGAGGTTTATGGTTAATGGATTAGGTATGCTAAACTCGCTTTTCCAATGTGTCACTTTCTGTTCCTACTCACCGTGTGATGCAATCGCTGGACCATACAGCCAATAGGCCCATAGCCCATCTCTTGGGTACTTACGCCTACCCAATTATTCATAACAACCTTTTTGACTACGATCCTTGATACCGGTACTTTTCCCTAGAATACACGGCCTCCCTACTTCAGAAATAAAATTACAAACGTCCAAAAACCCAGCATTGTGTGATTTTTGTCACATTTCTTTCTAATGTTAATAGATATACCAATAATTGTTTAGAGAATACGTAATCTATTAAATAACAAAAAGTTGTTTGTATAAGGTTGTTTTTTTTTTTTTTTTAACTGACACCAATAAGTTTAGGCCTACATTAAAAGTTGTTTACGAATAAAGCAATTAATGGGAAATAACTTTGATTGCCGATAACTTTTTACGAGAAAATTCAAAACCAAGAAATCAATAACCTTGGGACTTGATTAACGCATTTAATTGGTCGAATGTACTTTAGTTGCTAACTGTAAACGTTGGTTTTTGGTACTGGTTTTTTTCCTTAGAACCATTGGTAGCAGCAAGAATCATTTTTACGTACCAACACATCATTGTAATTTACAAATTAGTTATCGTTGGTATCGCACCTTCCAGTTTAATTGATGTCTTAACTGTATAAGTTTTGCTTTTTCTGTCTGGATTCCAAAATGTTAGTTTATGCTAAGAAAATGATAACTCATTTAAGTAAAACATTTGTTTAGCAAACCATCGTGAATTGTTTACGATTTACGTTGTTTATGTAATAATAGTTCGTGGCCTATTTTAGTAATTTTTATTATAAATTACCAATCTAAATCGTCTATAGTACTTCATTTCATATAGTAAGCAGTCATTTCGACAGTATTTCGCGTCATCTTCGGTCCAAGCAAATATAAATTGTTATTATAAAATTTGATGACATTGACAAAGATTTCAAATATTAATTTTATATGTACTTTGCTATGCTTAAAACGTAACAAATTCCCTAATTAAGTTCTGTATTTTTGTGTGTATGTCTGTTGGTAACGCATTAATGTCCTTATTTCTTAGTGTCACGAAAAGGACAAGTTGAGCACCTTTGATCATGAAAATGTCAACCCGAATAAAGTGTTAAATGGTGAGGTTGAGGTAGTACTTTAAATACTTTACCCCATTGTGGAAAATAACTTTCAACTATAGGCCTACCTTAGGGCTATGATTCATAGATCTATTTCTCATAGTAGGCCTATAAAGCTTTTTTTAGTTTAATCATTGGATTTAACATATGGACTAACATATGGGGTGACATGACATTTAATTGCAAAGCGTTTGTTTTGGCTTGAAACTGTCAGATACTGTATTTGCGAAGGTGTATATACAGGGTGTTTCGGTAAAGCGTAGCGGGCTATGCAGATTCAGATTCTACATGTAAAAATAAGTCGAAAATAGAGAATAACTTTTTTTCGATTTCGGCTTAGTTTAGCCGTAATCCGCCATTTTGTATTTTTTGAAAATAATTAATAACTCAAAAACTTTTGGAGATATTTTTATGAAGCTTAGTATAAACTTTAAGGCTACTCGTATTAACATTCTCTGAAAATATCTTTGATCAGACTCATCAAATGTCAAAATGGCGGTCATTTAAAATTTTGTTTTAATGGCTGTTTTTAGTTGATTTTTACTTTTAAAATTTTAAATGGCCGCCATTTTTAAATTTGATGAGCCTGATCAAAGATATTTTCGGAGAATGTTTATACCTGTAGCCTAAAAGTTTATACCAAGTTTCATAAAAATATCTCCAGGAGTTTTTGAGTTATTAATTATTTTCAAAAAAAATACAAAATGGCGGATTACGGCTAAACTAAGCCGAAATCGAAAAAAAGTTACCTATTCTACATTTTCAACTTATTTTTGCATGTAGAATCTGAATCTGCATAGCCAGCTCCGCTTTACCGAAACACCCTGTATAATAGTTTTGCCAGCATACCTGAAAATATGCAAACCAACTGCTGTTCTTAATATAAGAAGGTTTCAACTGACTACTATAAGATCCCCGTGCGTAGAACGGGCACACAGCTAGTTTATAATAAACATGTACGTATAGTAGCTGACGAGGACCAGTTGGAGTTTGCTCAAAATAAAATCGCTGATAGTAGTATAAATAGTATTGCATGTGATAATAGTCATGAAATAAAGGTTAGAGTGAGCCATACTGGGTTAGTAGAGGACAAGTTGGTGGAGGTAGTACAAGATGTTAGACTAAGAAATCGTGAAATAAACAGTAATGAATTAAATAAGCTTTCCCAGGTTTTGCACAAACATAGTGCGGTATTTTTTGACAAACCAGAATTGATCAAAGACTATGAGACTAAAATAAATTTAACAACTGAGAACCCTTTTATAGGTAAGGCATAACCAATTCCATTCCATAAAAGGAAAGAGGTACAGGGAGAAGTTGAACGGTTATTAGCATACATGATGAGAGTAAAAACAAAATCAATGGTTATTATTAGGCAGTTGAAAAAATACTTTGAGTGAACATACAATGTTTTTTAGGATAACCTCCGCAATTTCAATTCTCCATCGTCTTCTGGATTTGAAACAACAATTAATAGGCCTAGTGACCATTTTGATTTATAATGGAAATAGTTATTTTTCATACCTCAGTTAGGCTAATTGTTGTAGGCTATTTATATTTCTTAATATTGTGTAAATATTAGGTAGGAAATAAGGTCATTATGAACAAATTGTAATGAGAAGTAATTTTGGGTTTCTAATGTATTAAAAATGTTGATGTGTGTGATTTTTATAAGTACTATAGGGGCAAATTGGGAGCTCTACATAGGTGAGAGTATATAAGCCACTGGAACCCTAGGGTTAATGATTTAAGACCTATATCTTTATTTTATTTATATAAACAAGAAGAAGAAGAAGAAATGTTTGGTAATGGTATCTATAGCTCTATGATGTGAAATATAGTATGAAAAGAGACGCATTGCAACAGTGTTTGAACTTTACTACGTAAAGAGATAATGATTGTTCTAAGTGAGTGTTTATTAGCCTATATAATTGTTTCTTAAGGTATACAAAAATATTTATACTAGGTGAAACCCGTCGAAATCGACGGCTATTTTCAAGGATTACGCTAATTTATCTAACTGCGATAAATTGAGTAATATTATACATTGCAGTGAAATTATATAGCATTTAGCATTGTTTAAAAAGTAATAAGTGTAAAAACAATAATGATATAAATTGTTTTAGTTACCAAATGTGGTTGATCATTCAATGAATAAAATATTTCCCAGGCCTACCGTATACGTCATCAGAGTTATTATTAATATGTTAACTGGTATCTCTTCTTTTGAAAGAACCTTTATACCTTTAAATAGTATTAAAATCGTATTGGTGGATCTTTTGTAGCTAAACACTTCCACGATTTCATCAGTGTAATGCAGTTTAATCTATGATTTTATTTGAAAAAATATCTGTTTGTTGAGAAGACACATTCTAGCTTCAAAGGAAGTTATATCCGTTACAGTGTAAGTTTGAAAATCCGTCGAGTGGTTGATTCAGAATCGTGAAATAAAAAAACACTGTTTCGTTTTAATATTATAGATGAGATAATAGAGACTAGGCCTAAATAATAAGAAAAACACGTAAAATAGGAAATGTTCAAGTCCCTATAATCATTGTTTTCCTAGTCTAAGTTTAGCGCTTTTCGCAATGTTTAAAAAACTAATTTTCAGGCTTAAATAGTTGTTTTCCCCAAAAGTGCCAAAGGTTAAAAGTGCTGGGTTTTTTACAGTTTCTTAACTGGGCTACGCTAATATCGAATGAAAATATTGATTCGATTAGTAACTTAAACCTTCATGCGATTTTTTCACCATCAGCAAGTTTGGTTGGTTAGGTTATGATAACTTAGTTTATTTTATAGGCTATTAAAAATATTGATTATTTATCAATATTTTCAATTTGATTGTTTCAATCAATATTAGCGTAGGCCTAGCCCAGTTAAGAAACAGTACCCAAAGTGCTTAAAATAGACTAATTTTGGTAGATAAGGCAAACAATAAAATTTAACATAAGTTAAGTTCAGTATTACTCTGGGTATCTGGGGAAAATGTACCCACCTCGACCTCACCCAGGTCTAACCTAAAAGTGTTAATAAACTTGCACTCACCTTAGTTTTTTGTAAACAGATTATCTAATTTTCTAACATGTAAATGAAAGATTAAGTTATCATGATTATTAGGGTAAGTTGTTTTATGTTAAACCGAACGTTATTATACTCATTTAATCCTAAAATCTAAGATGATGAAGGCTTGAGGCTTTAGTTTGAGTTGTTAGCTTGCAGCTTCCTTGCAGGCTTGCAGGTTGCGGCTTGCTTGTTTTTTTTTCTTGATCCGCTGTTCCGCTCCGTGGACCGTCCGTGACTCGGTGGGGCACACGGGAGGGACAAAGCGACAAAGGCTAACATATCTTGTAGTGTCAGCGTTCGCCGCTAGAACCACTTAGTTAAAAAAATTAAATTATTTTTTTTAATTATAAAATATTTTCTTTTATTATAAAATAAATTTTAAATTTTTAACATTAAACTGTCATAACTTAACCTAACCAACCAGACTTGCTGATAATATAAATACCCCCGCCGCAGCAAACCTGCAGACTAAGCAAATTTCCATTTGCCTGATTGGATTTACACTAAAATGTCTCCTTAAAAATATCACATTTATCCCTATTTAAATAGAATCAGTTTAACACATACTTAGGTTTGCTGCAACAGGGAGGGTAAAAGTGTGTTTTTATATAAAATGTTAATAGTTAGTAAGAAATAAAAATATTTTCCAAATTTGGGCAAAATATGTTAATAAACAAGCAAACTACAACAGTTGACTTATTCTCCATAAGAATAACATGGAAATTTTAAATTTACAATTTTTTGGAATTTTCTCCGTAACCATTAGGCGCATTATAACGCTTCAATATACTAAATTATTTGTTTTTTTAAGCTCTACAAAATAGTTTAGAAATAAATTGCAAAATTTCATGTTTTTTGGGTCAAAAATGGGAAAACCCATTTTTACCCCATAAAACCCCCATAAACCCCCGTTCCCATGGTCCGATCATGCTGGTTCGCGAACTCGTTCGAATAAACGTAGGTTTACACGTTTGTACCAAATTTCATCAAAATCGGATCATTTTTGCTCGAGTTATCGCGCTAACGGACACATATATATATAAATAAATTTAAATATATATATATGTGAATTTGAACGGATGGTGTTTTTGGCCTCTAGGGACCTCAAAAAACGAAAAAAATCGGTCCCGGGTCCAGGTCTTACCATGAGTACTACGATAATAGCTTATTCCCTATATGGGAAATTCGCTAAAACTATAAGATAAAACTATAAGATTGCACTTTATGTAAAAAATGGCCTCATGTTTAAGAAAATTGATTTGGAAAATATTGATAGTAGTTTAGAATATATTTGTGGGACAATACGTTTAAAGAGCACTTTGTTTATAATTTGTATTTGCTTACAAACCACCCGATGTAGCTTACTCCTGCTTGAGTTATTTGTTCCATGCCTTGTTTATTGATATGAAAATGGAGTTTGACGAGGTCATTTTACTAGGGGATTTCAATATAAATCTCCTTGACGTTAATAAAGCTGACACAAAGTTCATTGATAGAATGCTAGATAAAATGAATCTTACTCAAATTATTAAGGAACCTACCAGGGTAACAGAAAAATCCTCTTCCTTGATTGATTATATAATATTAGGAAACACTCTGAGTTATCGTTCAGCTGGCCCAGCTGCTGGGGTAGTTGACACCTCAGAACTAGTAGATTGGAGAGGGGTAAAGATCACCGACCACAGGCTTGTATTCTGTGACATATGCTTACCCATAAACAAACCTCCTGCCAAGTTTATCACCTAGGCTACCGATCTTTTGAGCATTTCAATTAACAAAAATGTTTAGATTTAGTAGCAAATGTAGGAATGCTACTGGAATGGCTTTAAAGTGTTGAATGATGTGCATGCAATCGCCGATGCATTGTCATCTAAAATAGTAGAAATATATGACTCTTGTGCTCCGCTTGTTACAAAACGAGTGACGAAGGGGAAGGCTCCTTGGAGAAATGATGAGATTAAAAACTTAACTAAGTTAAAACGTAAATTAAAATCAAGGTTTCTTCAGACACAAAGTTCAAATGATCAATCCATGTACATAAAAGTTCGAAATAGGCTGAACGGGACAGTAAGAAAAGCAAAGAAATCTTATTTCAAAGATAACATAAACTGTCAAGACTCAAAATCTTTTTGGAAGGCACTACGAACAGGGGGAATCATAAAACATCATTGCAAAACCAAGTGCACGTTTTCACCTGATGAGTTAAACACATTTTTTGTTAGCATGGGCTCTGGACAAAAGGCATCTCAAAGTCTTATAGATTATTATAGAACCAATAATTCTGTCAAGTGTGGCCAAGTTTTCAGTTTCAAAACTGTGAGTCAAGACATTGTAAAGCACTTAATGAATGACATTAAAACAAGTGCCTGTGGAACAGATGGGATTTCCATACAAATGGTAAAGGCTGTGAGCCCGTATTGCTTGGAACTGATTACGCATCTAGTCAATTTGTCATTAATGTCAGGCCGTTTCCCTGATTGTTGGAAAGAAGCTTTGGTATTTCCGTTGCCCAAAGCAAAGCAGCCTGAACACATTTCTCATTTCAGGCCCATATCAATTCTTTCAGCACTATCAAAACTGGTTGAAAAAGTAGTGGCTAGCCAACTTGAGCCTTTTATTGAAAATATATTGAATGATAACCAGTCAGGCTTTAGGAGAGGCTTCAGCACAACATCGGCTTTGCTGATCGTTATAGATCAGCTGTACAGAGCTAAAGATAATAAGCTCAATAGTGCCATGGTAACTTTAGACTTTGCCCAAGCTTTTGACTCTGTTGACTTCGAGCCAAATTAAAGTATTATAAGTTTGACCAAACAGCCCAAAATTGGTTTCAATCTTACCTTGAAAACAGAATGCAGGTAACCAAGGTGGATGGAGTTACCTCTAAAAGCCCTTCCAAAAACATGTGGAGTGCCTCAAGGAAGTGTGCTTGGGCCTCTTTTGTTTATCCTGTATACTGCTGACATGAATGAAACATTGTCCCACTGTTCACTCTTTTCGTATGCCGACGATTCACAGCTACTCTTCTCATTCAAAGATTCAGAGATTTTGCAGGCAGAACAGGCAATAATGCTGATTTGACAAATATTAATCAGTGGTCAAAAAATCATTGTCTTAGGTTAAATACTGAGAAGTGTTCAGTAATACATTTCAGCAATTGCTTGAGAAACACTCTTTTAAGCCACCGAAATAATGTAAATATACTTTTGGAAAATGATTTATTGAAGGTTACTGAGGCTGTTAAAGTCCTTGGGCTTACGATTGATACAGAATTAAAATTTTCAAAGCAAGTAAAAACAATCGTATAAAGGGTCATATCTTTACTCAGAGTGTTAAATAGATTTAGGCATATATTGGCTGAGAATGTAAAATTACAAATGGTTAGATCTCTGGTAATGGCAATAATAAATTATGCTTTGCCTGTCTTTGGGTTTTCTTTGTCAGCTGAAAATTTGAATATCTTGGACCGCTTGCAAAATAATGCTCTAAGATTTGTATATGATCTAAAAAAATTGATCACATATCACATACGAGAAAGGAAAGTGAAATGTTACCAGTGCAGGTTGTTTGCGTCCTTGAAACTGTTGCCATAGTACATAAAGTGGTCAAAACCAACAGACCCTCCTACCTCAAAGATAAACTAACCATTCGAAAAGAAGTACGAGATAGGTGCACAAGACAGGATAGCCTACTGCATTTGCCTCGTGTAAACTTTGAATGTAGTAAAAAGGGATTTTCTTTTTTCGGCCCTCAGGAATACAATTCCTTACCTGAAAGAATTAAAAATTTAAGTTATAAGGCTTTCAGACAAGAAAAAAAACTGTATTTGTAAATATAGGCTAGTTGTATTAGTTTAAGTTAAATTATTTGTTCTCTTTTATTATTGTATTGCAGACTTTGTACCTGACTTGAGTTGTTTTGAAAAGCAGTGTATTTTTGTACTGAAAACCGCTTCAAATAAAAGACGTTTCTATTCTATTCTATTCTATTCTATTCAATAGCTTTCACACCTTAAGAACTTAAAAATCTAATTACAGCGCGCACTTCACAGTCAGCGGCAGTCTCAATTGGTGGCACCATTTTGAATGCTTGAAACCGGATGTAAACACGGCCGATTATTCTTGAATTTCCAGCTAGGTCTTACCAATAGATGCCGAAACACAGCGCAAATGTCGAAAATGCCAATCGCAGTGCAGGAACGGAGAAATTTAAAAACGGTTCTTACTTTAAAAAACATGCCTCGTATTTACTGGTTAATATATTTTACTGGTTAGTGTTTTTGGCCTCTAACCTCTTAGGAACAGAAAATACCACCGCCACTGCAAACCAGCAGACCAAGCAAATTGCCATCTACTTGGCTGGAATTCCACAAAAATTGTTCCCTTAAAATTGTCAAATGTATTTCCTATTTTAATATCATTAATTATGATGAGTATTTAGGTTTGTTGCTACAGGTGTGAAAGACAATAATGTGTGTTTTTGATTGAAATATTGATAGCTTAGTATAAAAGTAAACAAATTTTCCAAATTTCATTAAAATATGTCCATAGACAAGCAATCTAACAGTTTATTTATTTACCATACAAATAACATGGTAATTTAAAATTTTAACTTTTTTTTAGTTTTCTCCGTAACTGTTAGGCATACCTACAACAACTCATCAATATACTAAATTATTTATTTTTTTATCTCTACAAAATGGTTTGGAAAGAAATTGCAAAAATTTTTACGGTGAAAATAGGAAAACCCCATTTTACCTCATAAAACCCCCCATAAACCCCCGTTCCCATAGTCTGATCCTGCTGGTTCATGAACTTGTTTTAATGAATATAGGTTTACACGATTATACCAGCTAGATTTCATCAAAATCGGATCATTTTTGCTCGAGTTATTGTGCTATTAGACACATATATAAATAAATATATATATACTAGCATAATCCCCGTCCTTCGTACGGGGTTAGCGTAGAAGTATTAAATAATTAAATACTTATTGCAGTTATACTCTTCCTTTGTGTTTGCAATGAGAGAGGACTTGGTTCATTTAATTTACGGTACCTATGCTACTTACTTATTTTCCGTGTCTGGAAATCAGACTTCGCTTTCCAAAAATTAGCTACCGATATGGCTTTGTCATTCGCTTGTAAAAGATCATCTAATATGCAAGACTGGTCTAGGCGTGGACAGGTCAGCAGATGGCCAGGATCCTGAACAGCACCACACGCACACAAGATGTTTTCTTCGTCTGGTGAGAGACGCCAGCAATTCTGCATGTTTGTCTTGCATTTTGGTACCTCGACCCTGATTCGATTTCGGGTCTTCCACACCGTAATTTAGGTCTCCACCAGGAGCCACCTCCCTGGCTGGTATGGGAGGGTTAGCCAACGTGGCCAGCAGGTATGCTATAGTATAACACATCTACCATAGCCATAATGTTCTACCTCTAACATACACCTTAACCATAAAAAAGTTAAATATCGAATATTCACACAAAATCGAAACATTTATAAATTAAAAAAAAAAACATAAACTTAACTGTAAACAATCATACTTTGGCAGTTATCATTGTGTTTCAGAGCTTTTTTTGTTTCTGTGCTTGTTCAAATTAGCAAATTAGCTGTTGTCATAAATGCAAAAATAATTTATGGTTCTGCACCCTGTTGGCAAACCGTATAACTTTTTAATGATATTGAATATCATAGAACCAACTTTTGCAGTTAAAACAACTGACGAAATCCTTTATTCCTTTTAAATATGAAGAATAGTCATAAGGTTAACATCGAAAACTCCAGAGCCACTGTGGCGAAGCCCGAAGGATTTTTTAGATAAGAATACGTCTATATGTTAATCGGGAATGTAGTGAGCTATCATCATACCAAATTTCAGCCCAATCCGACCAGTAGAGCGAGGGCCTATTCACACTGGGCCACCATGGTGGCGATTAAGATATATAATGAATTTGAACAAATGGTGTCTTTGGCCTCTGGGTACCTCAAAACGAAAAAGTAACTCGGTCCCGGGTCCTGGTCTTACTACGAGACCTGTGGTAGTAGCTTACTTACTACAAAGGAAACCTGTGAATAATAACATACTCAGTCATCTCTGTGATGTGAGGACACGCGGAAGTGATGATATGTGCGCAGGCGTGTTGTGTGTGTGTACCGCGCATCTCAGACAAGGTCGGTGGCTGCGCAGAGCCCCGGGCGCTCCTAACCAGGTGAAGGCCTCGCCTTGACGCGACCGCCACTACATGCATTGAGATACGAGTCCGACACACGTCCACATCTACTGCTTATGTGTAAGTACTGCACGACCTAGGCCTCTAAAAACAATTAGATAAGTGGTTTAAAAAGCCTCAAAGTAGTTTTATTAAATTAATTTTCCTATGTAATTAATGTCTAGAGTTTCTTATACAGTAGTCGGTGAATCGGCAAACTGGAGTTATTGCTGATTTTAAATCTTTCACTTATTCAAACTACGTAAATGTATTTGCAAACAACTTCTCACAGTAGGTACAGTACTGCAGTATTTGTAATCTTTAGAGGACGGGACTGGAAAAATTAGTAGAGTTGCAATCGTGCTTGGAAAGATAAGAAGAGGTTTTATAACTACATGATAACTCGAAAATCATTATTAAAAGACATTGTACCTATTTAATCTGCTCTATAAAGTAAATGACTGTCGTGAGCAAATTTTCCTGTAGATCTTACACGGATTCACTTTTCAAAAAAATACCAAAATTCTTGTGATTTGCATAGTTAACGTTTCATTTTTGCATTCATAGATTCATAACCGATCCTAACAAAGCTATAATGCATGTTAAATACCTCCAAAGTCAAGCCATTAATGGCATTGCGAAAGTATTAAGTTGGAAATTACTGTCACTTAGAATCACTGGAAGATCGTGAACACACACTATTCTTAAATATGTATTGCGTGTTTATTGATGGCCTATTATATACTGTTTTGGAGGGTTTTGTATTACGAGAAGGAAACTTGTGGATTGAAATATCTTCCCGCCAAAAACTCTTCCAAACCAAATAAACATTTGTATTCACTATAAAGTATATTGGAGAATGGTGACACGTCGCGGCACTTTATCACTGCTTGCGGATGCGACTAATACAATCACTTATCAGGTGTCTGAACTAGTAGGCCTATAATATTCACTGTTCACTGCTTCTAAAACTAGAACCGTTGACTGTAAATCAACGGCAATAGTCCTATGGAGTCCTAAAAATAAGGATTTACAGCCAACGCCAGAACATTGGATACTGTCACAACTTTACTGGTGACTAAAATTAAAATTAGATACCAAAGATCGAACATAAGTAATCTAACTATACAGAAGCAACTCTCCTTACACGAGTGTAATAGTGTAAACATCAAACACTTTTACTTGAAAATAAACACGATTGTTCACTCAACTATTATTTTTCCTTTAACCATTATGGATAGCCTATTTAATATAATTTAGGGCGTTAATATAGATGCAAACAATCGCATGCAAAAACTTTAATTTAGAAAATGCGTTTTACTTGGACCGTAGGTTACACAAAAGTGTACGTGTATAGGCTACTCAATGGTAATATATTACCGGTACGCCACAAGGACGGAAAGGTGTGCAAGGTGAGCGCGGGATATTATGCGGGTGCCGTAAACATCTTCTTGGACGAGACTCGTACGGATGTTACGACAATTTTCATCAAACTACCAGCAACAATTATTTTTGGGTAAGTAAAACACACCCATACAATACCATCACACGACTGTTTAATCTACAGTTCACTTTTTTACCGAATTTTTAACACTAGCCTATATAAGTAAACATTTTCTGATCTAACCCTTCCATTATTTATTGTAAAATTGCAATGTGATAGTGCCGACTTGTCTAATTTTTATATTTTAGCTTCGCTTAGGTTTAAAGCCTAACCGAACCCTTTCTGCAAAAAACAAATTTCTGCTCTACAAAGAGCACATAAATTAACTGTTCAGTTAGGCGAAATGGTATTATTTCACTACAGTACTGATAGTGTTTAACATGCGAGTCGAAGACTTTCGGGCCCCGAAGTGGGACTTTCGTGACGAGTATTGAACGATACCTTTTTATCACGTTGAAAAAACGACTTCATCAAACTTAAAAAAAATATCTGATGTTTCGTAAACTATTAATGTTTCTAATCTATTCACAATACGACTGTACAATTAATTTTAGGATAAAACTTGGCTAATTGAACATCAACCACGTTTTAGATTTTTTTCTACAACCAATAATAAAAAGTATCAATAACCAATAGCCATACAAGACCAACGAGCACATGATGTGCTCATTGTACAAGACCACTGGACCCGGCTAACTCATGGCAGCTATCACTCAACACACCAATGTATAGTGATTGCGTCAAGAAGATGCAGGCTATCATAATCCTTAAATTTTAATTTTGAACTTATTTCTTTTGGAGCTAGTTCTGCAACTTTTTCCGGAATCGTCTTAATTTAAAGTGGCCATTAAAAACATTGTAAATATTATCGAAAATAATTGTCAAGATAATGGACAAAATAATTGTATGACCATAATCATAAAACATTCCAATTTCACTACCTGTAACAATTTTATTGCAATTTAGCACTGTAATGGCGATAATTTTAAAATACAGAATTGATAAGTTAGTGAAGATATAATTTTGTTTTTTAAGTTATTGTTTGCTTTATCTCAGTTAATCAATCGGTTATTTCACATCGACAAATCAATATAAATCTTCAAGAGTGTGAATAAACAACGTATTATACAACTTAAATTTGTAATATGAGATTGACAAACAGTAGGCTACATACTAGACCTCTTATGGCAATGGAAATCGTACGTGGTAAAAACACCGACTACCGTATGTATAGTCAATGGTGAACGTAGTTTTCAAAGAATGAATCATTATATTTTAATGACAATTAACTATTGTCAAGTCTTACCGGATAACATAGCTATATTACGACAGACTGGTTTAAGAGTGAACGGTCGGTTCAATCCAGGCCAGGAATAATAAATAAATAATAAATTTTTAAAGGTTCAGTGTAGATTCGAGTATATGTGCCCACAAAAATCGCTTCTCATTTTAAAGACTAGGGACTGCGTTGTGAGTGAGTAATGTAAGGTCAATCAAGAATTGAATTAGGGTTTTTAGTAAGCTAAACAGTTTTCTTCCAAGTTATTGCTAATTTCCCGGTAGTAAAAACATTCGGTTGATAATCAATCATAACCATCTATTCTAGATATATATATAATACGCTAAGCCGATTTTTGTAAACAGAACTCTTCCCTCATTTTTGGACCGATTTTGATGATTAAAGTGTCAAAATAATGGCCCTAAACTGTAGTTTTGCACAGTCTATTTCATTTTTTGAAATCTTTATTACTTTGGGCAGGATCTTCCATCAAGATTTCATCGATTTCGACGGGTTTCACCCAGTTTACTTAAAAAGCCTGTCAAAGAGAGAATTTGATCATATTGTCTACTTTCTAACTGGCTGAATTTAGGATAGAATGAATACCAGTGATTGCACAGTTATCTGAAATAAACATAGTAAAATAAACTATAGTGTAAGAACTTGACCAATACCAAGCCATTTGACCGAGTCGCCTGTATTTTGACAGACTGACCCAGTGACAGAGACGTGATGGTCGGAGGAGGAGGAGGTAACTGTGAAGAGCATCAGTCTCCAGCAGTGAGGGTGTGTGACGTCACCAAGCCAGCAGACGGTGGCTCCTGCGGCTTCCATCTGACCCGGACCAAGTGGGACCCGTACCCCTGGGTGTGCGGCGTGGACGAGGGCTCGCCTGCGGGGGTGGCGGGACTGCGGGTGGGCGACTGTGTGCTGGAGGTGAACGGCGAGGATGTCCTGGGACTGCGAGTGTCGGACATTGCCGCTAGGGTGCGACACAGGGCAGACACTGTCACTATGCTGCTGTGGAACTCCGGCGTCGACCCTCACTGTGACCCTGAGGTAAAGTTTACAGGTTTGGGAAAAGATATGGACACCTCTATATGGTATAAAATGATAAACGTACACTTTTTTGTTGGCATCCCAAAAATGAGTTATTTTGGGAACAAAACAGAAAATTTAAAAGTAAAGCCTCTTCGAATGACACCTTATTTAAAGGCCATCAGTTAAAAAGAAACTAAATATAGAGGTATTTATTTCAACCTATAGCAGAATGGCGGCAGTTTTGATCTTTCATCAACCTGTGAAACACCATTTAAAAATAGACATAAATATCACCGATAACCTTTTGCATGGTTTGTACCAGGAAAATCAAACTCAGTATTACCGTAACAATAAACGAAAAATGTGTACTTTTTGGTAGATATGGAACTTTGCCTGAGTCTGAGACCACAAAACGAAAAATTTTTGGAGCAGCTCAAAATTGTCCCCAATCCTTTAAATTAGTGCATACACACACGTAACACTACATTACATTATGTATAAACAACTCAACAGTATAGGCTATCATTCATAAATAACATTACTTCATACTGAGCCTAGAGGGTCGCAGCATCACTACATAGCTAAAATCCATTGGTGATTGTTGCGGTTTGAACCCGCCACTAGATTAGGTCACTCCTAGTGTATGTAGGAAGTGGTACTTTGTACTAATTACGGACGCTCGTGTCGTGCCTCGTGATGTCCGGATTGAGCGTATTCTGGCGGTGATTAACCCAGAACAAGAGCACAACACAAGGAGAGGAAACGGTACTGGTAACGGGGTACACGCGCTACACGGCGTGCGTGCCTCCATCAATGTGGGAGAACTTTGTATAAAATGTAGGTACTTGATACTTGGAAACTGAACGTATGTTTTGTATTACGTTCGTGTAAATAACTTGTGTGTCGGTCGAGCTCGATTTTTTACAAAATCCTATATTCCTTTCCTAGCTAACTGATTTGTTTTCCTTTAACACTATTTGTTAATTGTTGGTAGGTAATCCTTTTGCTGTAAAATTGTGTTCCAATGGTACCAAATAATGGATAAAATATATGTATTTTATTTTTTACCAATATTATTGGGACAAGAAGATCAGCAGTACTGTATATCTTTTGGACATCACGAGTTAGACATTATTTATAATTTTGAATTATTTAAACGTCAATATCATATTTTCTACATGATATTTTTTTTAGCTAATGCAGTCTACAAAATAAATTATGAATACGCTTCGGTTTGATAGATAATTAAAATCAAATAATACATAACATGCTCAAGTATTATACAAAGACTGTACAGAGGTATATACAGTATACTTACTCTAGACAAATGGAAATGATAACAAGTGGACTACTCTGGCGGTGGCGTCCTCTTTCCCGTAGGATGCGCTGGGTCGTCAGGAAACAAGGATTGCAGTGCTGTTGTCTGCAATCTCCTGTTCCACATTTTCTTTCACCTTGAGAACTACCTTAATTAGTGTAGATGGATAATGTTACAATGAGATATCCTGCGGACGATCTTAGTCCAAAAACATTGACGATAACTGTTCCTCATTTGCATGTAGACGTATGTAGGTCCGGTACCATCCCGAGAAAAAATTAAAATGTGTTTGATTCGGAACTAGAACCCCTCTGTCCTTGATCTCCTGGCTAGTAAGTAGCACTAATACAGCTGTCATTTCACCCATTTAACACCCATCGTTCACTCATATTCGGCTTGAAATTCGCACCCTGATGTGTATACGTCTTAAAAATTCTAAATCATGTTCCCTATCTACTTTACCTCTGTTATACATCGTTGTTACACCTTAGTTCAAACAAGTGGCTCATTACCGTTATTATTTGGGTAGCATAATACTTGTCTTCGAATCTGAAGATTGCTGGTTCGATTCCAAGTAAGGTGGATTCTGGACCCCAATGCCATTTGATCACGTTAGAATACATATAAACAAGACCAGGGTTCGGAAAGCTTCCTTACAATAGAAAATGTCCATAATAAATAAATGACTAAAAAAATATAAATATATAAAGACATCGCCATACAACTAAATTGATTTTCGGGATTATACTGCATGTGTGGACTTAATTTTGTTTTCTATCGTAGTTGTTTGAAAACAATAAAATCCTTTAGACCTTTTGTTTTTCACCAATCACCTCTATCAGCAGCAAGGCTTTCATTAGTTGATCAATGTACCACACTGAACATTGTTGTTGTGTTTCAGTCTCTATGCTGCGGCCCGATGCCCACCAGTCTCCAGCGACTGTCCTCTTGTATGACATCTATCCTCGCCACACTAGAGTGTCCGGTGTGTCTGGACACTATACAGTACCTTCGCCAGCTGAACATTGTTGTTATGTTTCAGTCTCTATGCTGCGGTCCGATGCCCACCAGTCTCCAGCGACTGTCCTCTTGTATGACATCTATCCTCGCCACACTAGAGTGTCCGGTGTGTCTGGACACTATACAGTACCTTCGCCAGCTGAACATTGTTGTTGTGTTTCAGTCTCTATGCTGCGGTCCGATGCCCACCAGTCTCCAGCGACTGTCCTCTTGTATGACATCTATCCTCGCCACACTAGAGTGTCCGGTGTGTCTGGACACTATACAGTACCTTCGCCAGCTGAACATTGTTGTTGTTATGTTTCAGTCTCTATGCTGCGGCCCGATGCCCACCAGTCTCCAGCGACTGTCCTCTTGTATGACATCTATCCTCGCCACACTAGAGTGTCCGGTGTGTCTGGACACTATACCTCCGCCAGCTGAACATTGTTGTTATGTTTCAGTCTCTATGCTGCGGCCCGATGCCCACCAGTCTCCAGCGACTGTCCTCATGTATGACGTCCATCCTCGCCACACTAGAGTGTCCGGTGTGTCTGGACACTATACCTCCGCCAGCTGAACATTGTTGTTATGTTTCAGTCTCTATGCTGCGGCCCGATGCCCACCAGTCTCCAGCGACTGTCCTCATGTATGACGTCCATCCTCGCCACACTAGAGTGTCCGGTGTTTCTGGACACTATACCTCCGCCAGCTGAACATTGTTGTTATGTTTCAGTCTCTATTCTGCGGCCCGATGCCCACCAGTCTCCAGCGACTGTCCTCATGTATGACGTCCATCCTCGCCACACTAGAGTGTCCGGTGTGTCTGTACACTATACCTCTGCCAGCTGAACATTGTTGTTGTTATGTTTCAGTCTCTATGCTGCGGCCCGATGCCCACCAGTCTCCAGCGACTGTCCTCATGTATGACGTCCATCCTCGCCACACTAGAGTGTCCGGTGTGTCTGTACACTATACCTCCGCCAGCTGAACATTGTTGTTATGTTTCAGTCTCTATGCTGTGGCCCGATGCCCACCAGTCTCCAGCGACTGTCCTCTTGTATGACATCTATCCTCGCCACACTAGAGTGTCCGGTGTGTCTGGACACTATACCTCCGCCAGCTCACCAGTGCTGTAATGGTCACCTGGTGTGTGTGAGGTGTCGTCTACAGACTGAGAGATGTCCCGTCTGCAGGGCGAGGCTCGGACGAGGCCGTAGTCTGTTGGCTGACAAGGTGAGCAGGGCCGGATCTACAAAATATGGGCCCCCCTGCAAAAGTCCTCTAAGGGCCCCTACAGCTGCGTACGGGGCTCCGGGGGGTTTTGGGGGGTGTGGAGAACCCCCCAAGAGAAAAGGGGGGTTCGGGGGCCCTCCCCCGGAAAAATTTCACATTTTTATAGCCGTTTGGTGACTTTCTAAAGCAATTTTTAACGCCTAAAACTGTGTCCAATAATAGTCCAAAAACTCCCATTTCACCTGTCGTTTGTCACGAGCAAGTAGACATAAGTAGAGTAGAGTAAAGTATATTTTTAAAATAGTTTTTACCAATTTATTTAAAAGATCAGATTTATTATCCTAATAGAACTAGGCCTATATTAAAATATGAATAGCTATTGCAAAACATAACAACTAATCCTCTATTGTAGTTTCTATTTCATAATTTAACTTGCACTTTTTAAACCTAGTTTTAATTTTTAGTTTTAATCTAATTTCTAGAAAATCCTTTTCTACTCTTGCATGACTTTTGAGATTGGGTTATAAACTAAATCAGGTTTTGGCGGGCCTAGCTAGCAGCTTTAACTCAACTCTCTGTTCAAAACTTACAACCTCACCACTGGCATACTTCGTAGAAATGTTTTTCACCTAATTCATTGTTCATTAATTCGCACTTTTAAAACTACACTTATAACGAAAAGAAACAGAGGTACAGGTACAACTATGTATATTAATTAATTATTTAATTTAACAACTATAGAATACCGGCGGCACGGCACGATAAACATAACCTCACAAAACTACAGTAGTATTCACTATTTTGACTGATCTCTAAATAATTGCGTTGACAGATTGAGAAAATTGAGATCGCTCTCTGCACCCAGCGCTTGTCGTGGCAATAGTTTAAACTACTGTTTGGACGGAGTCCCAAACGCCTTCGAATTAGGTAATTAGATAACGCTACAAAGATTAGTACAAGCTCAGAGTAAATAAAACAAAATTTTGTTTTATTTACTCTGAGGTACAAGTAAGTCCCTCCTGTACCACGACAGACTTATGACTTGCTCAACTGATGTGAGAGTGAGTGCTAGTGCTAGTTGACACTTCGTCGTCCAAGTCGCTCGGTCCGATCGGGCTGTAGTGGATCTGTGAAGCTCGCTATGCAGCTGACGTGCTGACTGGACTGAGCTGACCTGACTGAGTATGGACTGACTGAAAGTGGCGAGATTGAACTGTAGCTAGGGCAAGGTCCCGAGTTGTCGACGAGTAAAATCACAAGTCTAAATTTACTTAATAATTCTAACTTTAGTTTTGATGTTGACAATATTTATTTATTTGTCTGTAAAAACTAAACTTGCCGTCCTATTCAATTATGTTTATATGCATTAAAATAATTTTAATTTTTACGACCTCTTTGGGCCCCCTAAGGGCTTGGGCCCCCCCGCATTGCGGGGTTTCGCGGTTCCTAGATCCGGCCCTGAAGGTGAGATGACAATTCAATAACTATCCACCAACATCATTGGTTATTTCTCTCATTGCTTAAGTATTTGTACATATTGTGTGTAGCTGTTCCCCTTTTGTAACATGATTCTTGTTTTTGAAGGTGTACAACTCCTTGACGGATGCCTTTCTCCTGAGGGACGAGCCGCCAGAGACACGGTCCTCCAAGATGAGGCAACGACTCACTGGAAAGAAGAAGATCCCCGAGATTAAAAGACCCGTCGCGGAGGTGAAACCGAACGTCAACCCTCCCAAAAACAAATTTCTCACTAGGATTTTAGGAAAATCGTCCTCAGTGGAAAATCTGTCGTCAAACACGAAATCCTCAAACTTTTTATCAGTCGATTCAACGTTAAACTCTAATATGAAAGCCAAGTCTTTGTCAAGCAACGAGATCTTTAACCAGCTGAGTCCCGCGGTCTCGCAGTCTTCTATTCCGACCACGAACACTGCGGACATCGGGTTCTCGTCATCTCGCTCATACCAGGGCTCGTACGAATCTCTGGCCCAGCGGGTGATGACAGACTTCGGCGAGGTGGAGGTGGCCGACGACGGAGCCTCATACGTGTGTCCTGCGTCCTATGGATGTTCCGCACAGCTGAGGAGGACTGCTGTGTTCCGACACCTACAAGACTGTCACTCAGGTCCTCTGGTGCAATTCTTCACACCCACCGTCGTCCTGGACCTACCTCTACGTCTGCCTGAGGACGCACTCATCACTATATCCAGTGATGCAAATGTATACTTCCTGAAAATCGTACCCAAAGACCAATCAGATTACCTCGTTTGGATGTGGGTTCTAGGTGGTAAGTTCAACTCGGAGGCGTTGAAACTCGTGTTGACTCTAAAGTCTGACGATGCCGATTCACCAGAGCTAATCTTCAAATCAGCCGTTCACTCTCTGGTCAATACTAGCTGGACTGAGATTGTCGATGGAAACAAAGCAGTGTTACTGAAGCAAGAGACTATAGATGCAACATTTGAAAACCATAGAGTAAAACTGCAAGTGAATGTTTCATCAAAAGCTACACAGGCTACAGCTGTCTGACATAATTACTGGCCATGAAACTGCAAATCATAACTATCTTGTTGAAAAACGTTCGTCTATAAAATATTTCCAAATATTTTAAAAACGAAAAACTTTCTTTATTTTCACGGTTACCGTAATGACGAATAACATGTTTTAAATAGGAAACTGTGATATAATTTATTATGTTTGTATGAAAATATGTATGATTTATTGATGGAAATGATTCAGTTAATATTACTTTTAAATTGTAATTTATTTTGTTATTAAAAAACCTGTGTTATTGCACTTGTTGATGTGCATGTCGTTATTTGTAGATTATAAAGATTAAATATGTCAAAATAGTGTGGTACCTTTTTAAATAACCTCAAAAACTATCACAGAGTTATTAAAAATCTTCCATCAACAGTACAATAACCGGCTTCTGTAGCTTTTTACCTCCTCAACTATCTGGCATGGGGGGCCACCAGTTGACCGACAAGATACTTGGTCGTCTTGCCACTAGACCGTCTTTTTAATTAAATAGATAAATACTGAAAACCAGTACGTCGACAAGTTATTTCATCGTCAGTCCAGTTGACCGGCCTGTAAATCTAAATTATTATATACGAGAAACCAACTTGTCGTCAATTCTCCCGACCGACTTACCACTTGCTCGTCTTTTAGGTGGGGATATGTTGAGCGGCAGTGCCAGCGGCGCGCGCAGCTGTGGAGGGCACTGCAGGCGTACCAACTTCTGTATCTTGTAGCGGCGGTTTTCATTCCGACGATTTTCAGCTATCACAATGCAGCGGACTAGCGAGGTTCTTATTACGTGTAATTGTTTGTTTCTCAATCGATATTTTGTTATACACAGTACAGTGAATATAAATAGGCCTATATTAGTTTACTTCAATGAAATAAATGTTTTATTTAGCTAAATAAATAAAAATACGCCGATTGAACAAATAAAATTGTTACAGACAACAGGAAGTCCTTAATATGATCAAAAAAGTGTTTATCTTTATTAAAAAATTACTGAAATGTGTAAACTTACTGCTGGCGACAAGGGTGGTGCCATACATAGGTTTATCAATAAATAAGATAAACATGGACAACCTTATGCAGCTATAAGTCAGGAAACATTTGTAGAAACATTAAAAAGCAATACTAATTTATGAAATATGATAAAATATTTACAGGAAATGTTGATTACTGTATATACATCGTGAGTATCTCCAGCAGTTACACACTGGTGATCTTTGAGTTGACTCTTTTAAACTCATTGATTATTACTTTTTTTCGTTTTGAAATAAATTCTGTAATACTTATTGTTAATTGTTAATAATGTAAAATTGTAAAATTGTTAATAAATGTTTTGTAATACTTTGAAATTGCTCGAATTCGAGCAACATGTACACGAGTTTGAATATTAAATTAACTAACATATTTATGTAATAGGAGGGTCAAATATTGTTAACAGTGGTGAGGTAACTACCGTTACATTTATTCAATTGAGAGATAAATACAAATTGATAATACCGGTTATTTAAAGCTTTGTTGTCTATTTTTCCCTCTCTTAAAAAAATAAAATAAAGAATGAATTTAGACTTTTGGTGACATTAGTTTGTACTATTTCTCCTTAAATGACACTGCTGTCTTGGTAAGCAATAGTTATCTCGGTAAACTATTTATTTGCTGAAGTGCACAGTGTGCTACTTAGCCTGAGAAACATCTTTTGTTTTATGATTTTGTTGTAGGCCTATTGAAAACCTTGTCTAGAAGGAATTCCCATTGCCTGTGTTACCGGGGAGAAGTTTTTCTTAGTAAAGTCTGTAGACGTCTTCGGTTTTACACAGAAACATGTAATTATAATTGAAGAAGTACATGTTTTATCCTCTCACGTTGTTGCGTGGACAATACTATGGTGATTCAATTCTGTGTACTTCAATTGTCTAACTGGCCCTAACTGACGCATCCTTGTTTTTTTTTTTTTTTTTTTTTTTTTTTACTAAATAATGTAGTCTTTACTTCCGTGGATCTTTGCGTTTTATTGTGTCCTCAAGTAAGTCTGTGTTCTGAGTAAGTACTTCAAATGCACGGCACTACTGTATATTCAGATTTTTTAATGAACTATCATAGATAAAAGGAGTATAGACATGTATGTATGACAGAGTATGTCTACTCCTTTTATCTATGGTACTATTTCCAAGTTCATCTGGACGACCCTGCAAATCGTTTCTAGTAAAAAAATTTTATTTGGTTTATGTTTATGAACTTGTATGAGTGTTGTTAACTAAAGCTAAATTCACATCAAATTAATTAATTAAATTTATTTTAATAGTAGGCTATTTCTAATCTATTTCAGTTTTAAGAACATATAGTAAATAAATCATTGTTGAAACGGCTGTACTATCCATGCAATTATTGTCAAACTATATGTTCAAAGATTCCTGGACGGCAATGTTATAATACTAGTTGGAGCAGAGGTACTGGATCTAGGGTTAATACAGTTTTGTGACGTGTAAGGTATATCACTGCAGAAGTAGTTAGCTCAAGAATTATGACGCGGATGACAGAGATTGGTAGCTTTTGCTATAATTATAAAAAAAAACCAAGTACATAAAATCATTCACAGTTTTTTTTCACAGTCTATTGAATAGCCTGCAGTTAAGTTCACTCTAATGAAGAATATAGACGTGGCCAGAGTTCCAAACGATTTAAGTAACAACTGTTTACATGAACTATCCTATATGTAAGTTTTTTTTTTTAGTGTGCAATGTACTTATTGAATTTTCATTAGTAATATATCATGGCTATATCGTTTATGTAAAAGTATCAAAAGATAGTAAAACGAAAACGAAACAATCAACCAAGACCAGTGACCGAAACAAGTGTCGAGCTGGCGGCGCCGCGCCTACCTCGGGATTCCCCGAGGGCAATAATTCATCTTTGAAGTAACACCGGTAACACTGACTCACTGGCCGACACGGATACCCGCCTACCACCCCCTTTGTGTCGTCACCCTATGACCACCGGTCGGTCGGCCACCCATCCAAGGAAACTCTAGACATCGGCGGCTCTTTGTCGTTCGTTGACCAGCGTATTTTCTAGAGTTGAATGTATACCCTCACTCACACCAGGGAATAAGTAAACTGTAGTAGTTTTCTTGTTTATGAAAATATTTGCATTAAATTAGAAAAAAATCATTTATTTATTTATAAAATGTTATTATTTTACAAAAAAAACACACTTTTACCCTCCCTGTTGCAGCAAACCTAAGTACTTGTTAAACTTATTCTATTTAAATATGGAATAACTGTGATATTTTCAAAAAGTCATTTTAGTGTAAATCCAATCAGGCAAATAGAAATTTGCTTAGTCTGCAGGTTTGTTGCGGTGGGGGTATATTTCGTCATAAACTCTTTTGCCGAGTCTTCAATAGTAAAGTGGCAACTAAAACGCGACTCCTGCGACCCAATTCTGGCGGCGCTCTAGAACTACCCGAAGGCCTTTTCCGGTATTACGCGTGCCGCATCACACAAGTAGTTTTCCCGCGCCCCTATTCAAACGCTTGTAGGCGAAGAAAAAGAAAACGAGTTGACGACCGAGGCTAGGTCGACCCGATCGACTTCGAAAGCTGTTTTACTGTCTCTCTCCCTCTCTCTCTCTCTGTCTTTGGATGTGTAGGGTTGGCGAGGGTTGTAAAATTGCTGAAAGTGAAAGGGACGTGGCTGGCGCTACGTTCCTAGTTTTTGGCCTCTTGATGCTAACACTGGGTTGGCTACTCGAGATCAAACAACAGCGTGTGTTTAGTACAAAATTGGGTCCACAGTCACATCTATATTACTTATTTAATACGCAAGCAGGATTTTTGTGACAATTATTCCTCCGAAACTACTGAACCGATTGACATGTTTTTGGTGTCATTGGAAAGAGCGTAACGTGAAGTTGTGCAGGAAACTTTCTTTTTAGGTAAATAATTAGAGAGTGAGGCCCTGGGACCCTTTAAAGTTTCGTATTTCTCCATAAGATTAACACGGGAAACAAACATTGTTTTGAAACTCCAGCTGTTGTCAGGAATTAAATATTAATAATTAATTGCTCCCCATGGAAGCATGAGAGTTCTGTAGAGTTTGTAACCTACACCTTATTGTCTACAAATTGGCTAAATAACTTAGGTACAGTACATTATAAAAGCTGACAGACTTTTTATTTTGACTTAAATTGTAAGCTTACCATTTCCCGTCCATGGGCAGTTTGATAGTTAAAAAATAACCCTTTAAACTGGAATAGGACTGTTATGTAAATTGTGAGTATTTCCATTAGTTAATAATCTTTTAGTTGACTCTTTTAAAATCATCGGAAATTATGACTGTTATTAGTTTTTTAACAAGTCATTTGTTTATATGTAACTCCTGTACTTCTTTGCAATTGCTCGATTTCGAGCAACATGTACACTAGTTAAGCTATTATTTTATACAATAGCTAAGATATTCCACATTCCAACCAAATATCTGGCCGAAAGTAGTTTTTGATTGCATTTCAATTGAATAATTTGTAACGAATCGAATTAAACCACGAATCGGACATACCATGATCCGTATGTCAAAATGTATGTTTTAATAGGTGAGGAATCCGATTATGGTATTTTTAAACTTTCGAAAATGTATGGTTTAGGCTGTAGAGATAAAATTACGGTGAAAATCAAATATATAATTGAAACGATTTTTTGTGTTGAAATTCTAAAATAAAATTCTTAACTCCTACCCCAAAATATACCGATTCATAATGTTTATTACAACTATGATCGATAATGTAGCCATAAGGTCGATACAAATTCTTATATTTCGCGCGACGAATATGAAAATATATAGGTTTTTATTAAGGAACGGATTGTACAAATATATTGATCCGTATGTCGAAATGTATGTTTTAGTAGGTGGGGAATACGATTTTGGTATTTTCAAAGTTTCGAAAATGTATGGTTTAAGCTGTAGAGAGAAAATTACGGAGAAAATCAAATATTGATTTTAAAAGATTTTTTTGTGTTGAAATTCAAATATAAAATTCTTAACTCCTACCCCAAAATATGCCGATTCATAATATTTATTACAACTATGATCGAAAATGTAGCCATAAGGTCGATACAAATTCTTATATTTCGCGCGACGATTATGACAATATATAGGTTTTTATTAAGGAACGGATTGTACAAATATATTGATCCGTATGTCAAAATGCATGTTTTAATAGGTGAGGAATCCGATTATGGTATTTTTAAACTTTCGAAAATGTATGGTT